GTGTGGCATCAGCATCATCTGGGAACTTGTTAGAAGTATAAATTCTTAGAGCCCAGGAGTTGATAGTTCATCAAGGCCTGCAGAAGATTCTAGTACTAATGAGAGTTTGAGAACTGCTGGTTTAAACCTTAATTAAGAGGTTTATACATTTTTCCTGAGGATGGGCTGATAAGCTTTAATGTTGTGAGGACATACTAGACACCTTACTCCTGGATTTGATTTCAGTGAGTGACTTTATTTATCAACTTTTTTTTTTTTTTCATCAACAGGTGACACTTGGACAGAAACACTGGCTTATGTACTTTTCTGGGGAGTTGCAAGCATTGGAACATTTTTTATTATTCTTTATAATGGCAAAGATTTTGTTGATGCTCCTAGATTGGTCCAGAAAGAAAAGATAGACTGAATTTGTGTTTGTGGAAAGCGGCTTGGCTTGGAAGATTCCATGATACAGAACTGGAGTCTTTACTGACCCGCTTTCCACATCAGCTGCTGTCTTTTTAAAGCCTTTATCCAAAAGCACCTCTTGTGCTCTGTGTGGAATGATGACTTAGAATTGATCAGATGTTACTGCCTTGATGATCTCTTTGCTGTTGGGATGGTTATATTTATAATTTGAAGCTATATTATAATTGAAAAATAACCTGAATTCAGCTCACAGAAAAGAAGGACTCGACTCATTGTCAAGTTAATCAGCTGTTGCAGATGATTAATATATTTTTAAAAATTAGCTTCTTTCATTATTTAAAACAGTAAAATTATTTTTCTAGCTGTTTTGTTATTGTCATTGTAGGTGCAGTCACCGTTAGCAAGATACTTTGCCTCACCTTTGGACTTTTCTTCAAAGTTTAATAATGAGCTAACTCTACCATGTCTATAAAATGTAAGTCTCTTACTTACATCAGATAGCTTCATGATATAGTCTGTGACTTCACAGGAAGGTGGAGGAGGATGGGGTCTGGGTTCTTCAGTTTCCGGTGGGCTGCCTCGGCCTCAGTCAGCTTGAGCTACTGCAGTGCACCAGCAGTTTACGTGTAATGAAGGGTCAAGACAGACTTCTGTCTTCTTTACCAGTTGTGAATGGAATCAAAGAATGGAAAGTCTCTTTCTTATGCTAAAGGTCCAAAGCCTCTACTTTTTAAGGATTGCCCCATTGTAGGAAATACCCTTGACTAGCCAGCTGCTTCCTCCTGTACATTTTGATTTCTTTGGGGGTTATTCATTGAGACCCAGAGGCCTCTGAGGGGGTGTCGTGCTAGATCTGATATTGCACTTGGGGCAACAGCTGCTTTTCCACGCATGTTATTGCTTTTCTCTCTGTCACATTTTTTGTTGGCTATCAATAAGTGTGTCTAAAATTTAGTGCTTCCAGGTAGTTATAGTTCTCCAAATCAAGGACCAACTTCAACTTCAATTCCTGTGCAAAAACAAACCTGAAAAATATGCTTCAGAAGCTGTGCATAGTTGTAATTGTAAGTCAGATTGTATATTCAAATTGTAATTATGAGGTTTAGATAATAGTATAGTATGTAAGGTAGTGTAATTACCACTATTTTGAAATAATTCGATTAAACACTGCTACAATATTTCAGTGTTTTGCTTGAAAATATGTACAGGTTTTTTCCTTATGTTGTCCTTAAATATTTCTAAAAGCTCCTTTATTTTAGCATTATCTTTTTCAACATAATCTTTTATAAACATTAATAAGAATTGTTGCTTTTAGAAACTCTGAAAGAAATAATAGCTGGGAAAATGCTGTGTAGCTTAAAATCAGTCATTAAAACTCACAGTAGGGTAAGTAGATAGAGCCACCTATTCCTAACATGTAAATAAGCATAATTTGTTCCAAAGATGGAATATTGACACATAGCTCATGTCTACTGTAATATATTATCCAAATGCTACTGGGCATTTCACAGTAATGATGTGAAACCAACTGCATCAAAGACCAAATCTGAACCGCTAATGTGGCTGCTTTGCAGGGAATGGACTTATTGGTATGTTAGGTCATAAGCTATCAATATTTCAGAACCCTGCAATGATTTTATTTCTTAATTCATGTACTGTACATCCATAAGTGAAAATAAAATGTCATATTCTTTTCTAACTACTGTTGGTTTTGTTTTTTCCTATACTTTATCTTGAAGATGAGTTTTTCTAACTTTTTTTTTTTTAATCTCAAAGCAATGCATGATCATTATGGAAAATTTAGACAATATAAGTAAACAGAGTCAATAGCTTCTGAGATCCTGTTTTCCATTTACCTTTTTCATCGTCTCATAGTTATTGTGCATCAGAAATTTGGGCATTTCAGTTCTGCCTCCTGCTTTAGGGTCTTCTACAAAGGCTGCGAATAGGATTCATCTGGGTCCACTTTCAAGATTACCCCATTGGTTGTCAAGATGCAGTCCTCACAGGCTGCTGGCTGTTGGCTGGAAGTCACTCTCAGTTTCTTGCCACGTGGTCCTCTGCAGTGTAGCAGTTTGGTTTGTCAAAGTCAGCAATAATGTCTGCTAGCAAGATGGAAGTCACAGTCTTCTATGATCTAATCTTGGAAGTGTTATCCCACCACTTTTTATTCTATGCAGAAGTCATCACTGAATCCAGCTCATTCAAGGGGAGAATTTATGAAGGCATGAACACCAGGAGACAGGGACATCTTGTTAGTCTGCCTATCATAGTAGGGAGAGAAGAATATTCTGAGGCCAGAGCTAGTTTTGGAGGGAATCAAGTCATTTCCTGGGGAGGTTGGGCTTACACCAAGTCCAACGTGTAGTGATTATTTGAAGCTCTGTAGCAATTGGCTCAAAAGTGGGGGAAAGGAAGGAAGTCGTGGTTACACAGACACAGGTGGTGTGCCATGCTGCTGTTGTCCTTAACCCCTGGCTGTCTTCCTTTAAAACAGTTTATTTTCCCTTTCACATTTCTTTGTGTGTCTTCTAGTTTAGTACATATTATGTATCCCCAGTTAAATGTAATGTTTCGTTCTGGGGCATTCTTGAGGGTTAGAAGGAATCCTCACAATTCAGAAGACCTTCCACTCTATTGTAAATCCAGCTCATTGGAAATAGTTTTCCTAACTTTTCTCATGGAACTGAACCCTCATCTCCTCCTGGGGCCGACTTCATGCTCCATGATGGTGTCGTTTTACTGGCTACGTGAGGAGGTGAACATGGGAAGAGGTGACAGGGGAAAAAAAAAAAGACTTACTGAGTCTGCCTTTTCTTTATTTTCCACTTTTCGGAATTAGCTTTTGTGCTTACATGATGAAAAGATCTCTTGTGTACAGAGAGGTCTGGTACTGTATGAGTAAATGACGAAAAAAATCCCAACTACAGATATACTTGTTTAACGTTTTATTGACGTCGACAGTGGATAAAAAACAATTTTTCCCCTACCTAATATCTTGGAGCTAAGTCCAAGGTAGTTCTACTTCCAGCATGAATAGGAAGTTTCCAGAGTCCACCATCTGGCCATGATGCCATGGGTCACTGTTAAGTGACAAGGATGGAATGTCCCTTTCCTCCTATTGGAGGGTGGGTGGACAAGTCCCTAGACTACCATTTTTGTGCAGTACCTAGCAAACAGCAAAAAACCTTTTCTAAAACAAGACTTACTACTGGCTCAAGAGGATTACTGAGAAGTGTCCTGCTCTTCGTGAAGTTCACAGAAGCCAGGGTAAAACTTCAGTCAAACCAGAGACATTGTCGCCTGGAGCAGATTACATACAGACATCATCGTCTGACTGATGCTGATGTGACCTAGGATATTTTTTTGCTCTGTGATGGTGTGAAAGCCACATGCATCCAGTAGAAACTGTGTCTTAAGGTTTGACCACACTAGTGAGATGCTACATGGTACTTGGGGCATGTGAGCAGCTTGCAGTCAGCCACAGGGTCACCAAGGTCAGCATCCCACACAACACAGATCGCTGTGCTGCTGAGCTGAGGGTTGGTAAGTGAGGGGTAATCATGTTTTTAACTTTGGGTGTTTTAACTCAAGGGTTTTTTTTTTTGGATATAACCACGTGAGTCAAAGAGCCTCATGTTGCTTTATCTCTCTGATTTCCATGAGCGGTTATTCCACAGAAGTACCTTTTCCCCATAATTGGAAATGCTTTCCGATGTTAGAAGTCCTTATTGATGTAACTGAATATACCACCATTTTCTTTCCATCTTAAATGGGGCCTGGCTTTCAGGTTTTGCTGCACATTGGAATCACCCGAGAAGTTTTAAAATCTTAAAATTTTCGGTAGGATGTGGCCGTCTGGAGTTTGCAGTGCTCCCAGGTGGATGGGAATGGGTGGTGGATGGGAATGGGTCGTGGATGGGGATGGGTGGTGGATGGGGATGGGCAGTGGCAGGGGCGCACTGGAAGAGTGCCGGCCTGAGTGAAGCAGCCATAGGTCGACCTTTCTCTTTTCACCTACAGTATATCTGTAGTTGGGATTTTTTTCGTCATTTACTCATACAGTACCAGACCTCTCTGTACACTCTGTTCAGAGTTGACAGGCTCCCACTGCCTGTGACTGACTGCAGGAGAGGGTGGCACTGTGTCCTAGGACAGTGACCACATCTGGAGGTCAAGAGGAGGGGACAGGCCCTTAAGGATGGAACAGTGGGGAGGGCCCACTCTTCAAGTGTGGAAAACCATCAGATGAGAAACAAGAGGACTGAGTATTGAGTAAATAAATGCAGTTCAGACATTTGAAAGGACAGGATCTTTAAAAAAAAAAAAAAAAAAACATCAGGGGAAGCTGGAAGTATTGATAAGCTGGTGGCTAAGATAGCAAAAGACCTTCCTAATACTTATTTTTGCTGTAAGGAAATTTATAGCATGAAAATAAGTTTTAAAGAGAAATCTCCAGCTGATGTCCCAAGTGGGTGTTTAAGTGTCTTCAAAGATGTCTGTATCAATGTACCCAAAGGAATGCTCCTGATTCCAGGACCTCAAGGAAGCACAGAATGCTGGGGCAGGAAGGGGACCCTCCTACTTCAGAGTAATGTTAACCTACTTTATTAGAGTAAAATAGATTCACATGGTGGGCTAATGCTATAATCATACTATGGTGTATCTTCAGTAATAAGATGCTGTTTAAATTACGTACATTTTAGAAAACTTTCTTATGTGCAGATAAATAAACACTGTAATTGATGTTTGTTTTCTTTATAGAGTTGTTATGCCCAAATATCATTTTAAATATATGGGAAAGTTAAATTTACTCTTCATCTTCACAGTAATTTCTGGAACCTTTTCTAAGGCACTAAGACACCATGAATGGGATATCTATTCATATTCCTCAGGGATTTGGGGGTTGCAAACTGTACTTGGGGCAGTTTTTGTAAAGAGGGCTATTCCTGGACCACTGTGAGAGACCTTAGATGAGAGACAGGTGATTGCCTTTGGGGCCCAGTAAAGGTCTCTCTCGATGGCCAGTCAGTCTTCTTCACATGTAAAAAGTGGACAGGGAACACAGAAGTCACATGTTCACTGAGTAAAACAAAACAAAAGCGTAATTAAACACTGACAGTATTCAAATGTGGCACCTTAGGTACTTCAAAACTCCTCCAACTGAAGTAAAAGTATTGTTCTCTAATATTTTGGTGTCTCCTCAGCAAAAAACCAAATTGCTTATATTTGGATCCCAAAGAATGATGGTAAAATTTCAACTCACAGTGTGCCTTACTCCTAGGACTTTGTAGAATCAAGGAAACAATTATCTTCAAGCCTAGCCTTAACCTTGGTGACAAGGAAGCAGCATGCTGTGGCCTTCGGGGCCTGCAAAGGGTGGAGGCTGGTTTTGTGAGCAGCCTGCTTTCTTCCCAGGGAATCTTCCTCCTCCGCGGCTTCTGAATTTTGTGTCATCTCTGGAGGCTGGGAGTGAATCCTGGAGGCCGAAGTATTTTAAAAGCAGCCAAGGCGCTTCCACCAGTTGCAGCAGCTGTGACACGGGGCGTCTCTGGGAGGTCCAGTTCTCAGGCCACGGGGGCTGTGTCTCCCCTCTTATAGCGATGCATGATGAAAGTCCCCAGGGCCACCAGGGGGATGCACATAGTGGAGGATGCCACAAGCAGCCCAATAACAGCTAGAGCATATGCCGGGTAATCCTTGGTCACCAGCTGACCCTGCAAGGAGGGAGAGTGTCAGTAGAGGAAACCTTTCCATAGAACCTTCTGAGCACTATGCCCAGGCCTCAGCCCTCAAGGAGTTGGAGAGGCAGCATGGGGTGGGAAGAGACCTGAGGGGCTGCCATGCCACACCAGAGGCCACCCCAACCCTGCAGTTCACAGCAAATGTGCTAGGAGTCCACTTCTCACTCTTCCATAAATAGGGACAATCTGACACCTCACTCAGGGGCACTGTCCAGGGCACCTAAATGTAGGTCCACCTTGAACCCAGACTAGAACTTTCTGTGGTGGTAAATGTGCTCTGTATCTCTGTTCAATGTGGCACCCAGATGGAGGAGGAGTTCCCTGCCCAGGAGTCGGGAACCAGCAGCCTTTTCAGGGACACTTTCTCAATACCTAGGTAAAGGTCCACTGGGATGCTCCGGAGGAGACTGTGTCATCACTGGGACACATTTAAAAACATACCCGGCTTTGCTGTCCTGGACTGAGCATTTGTATAATACCTTGGTGAGGTTTTCATGTTGTGACCAATGACCTCTCCATACCACAGCGGGTGTCAGAGAACTAAAAGCTGTGCTTTGGTGTGGCCAGCCCTGTCCTGTGGGGACAGCAGATACCTGGGTGGCATCCCAGGCTTGGTACTGCAGGGTCCCTGTGATGATGTAGTCACTCAGGTAGAAGAATAAGAGACCGATGATGAGCAGCGGGCTCACACAGGCCCACATGGCCTTCCAGTACCAGTTGAGGGCTCTGCCAGTCATGGCCTGAAGTTCATTTTCAAATCTATATGGATCATGGGGAGAGAAAGTCTGGGTTATTGATGCTTCTGGAGGTGAGAGGGGTCCAGTCTGCACACCCCATCACTTAGGAAGATTTTGTTTGGGGCACGATTTATGTTTGAACATCACCCCGGGTGCCTCTCTGACACCTTCTAGCAGGGGCAAGGGGAAAGAGGCTGAGGCTGCCCAAGAGGGGTGACAAAGCAACCCCTGCTGATAGGAGGACACCAGGAGACATCTTCCTGGTACTGGCTGCCAGAGTAGACCAGAAGGCAGCTCCCAGTGACAGTGGGGACAGGGTGCATGGGTACTAGCAGTCCAGTCCGTCTTCAAGGACGGGGGCCCTCAGGTGGTTTTGCTTCCCCTCCACTCCCATCCAGGTGGCTCTACTGCCCATTAGAAACGCTCCCAGGACCCGCAGAGCAGAATTGCTTTCTGCTTGCGAACAGCAGGTCTTGTAGCAAAGAGAGTCTGGCCTTGGCCCCAAAGGGCCTGGACCCTGGCCAGGAAGAGCTGGAGGAGTGGGCCCAGAGGAGCCAGGGCTGTGCTTTCCAGAAGCTGGAGGCCGCAGGCCAACAGCACTCCCACCCTGGCTGCACACTAACGTAGCAGCACACAGCAGTACTCCTCCACAGGCCGATCAGATCCTGGTCCAGGACCCACATGTGTACTTTAGCACTTAGGGACATGTTGGCCCAACTTCTCTCCCCATTTTACAGGGGAGGAGACTGAGGCCCAGGGTTGGGCTGGGACTCACTGAAGGCACCCAGGTGGCAGAGTTCCTCCTGCCTTAAAATCTGCTTCTCACTATGGGAGAAGCCACCTTGGCAGGAAGGCTGGGGTGAGGCAAGATGTCACTGTCACCAGCAGTGGTCACAGCCCCTGCCTCCCTGCATCTAACCCCAGTGTGGAGTTTTGGGTAAAGGGGATCAAACCTAGGGCCTCGAGAATTTTAGGCAAGCGATCTGTCACTGAGCTGTATTCCAGGGCCCAGGTGAGAGGGTGTCCCTCTCACCCCTAGCCACTCCTGGAGAGAAAGGTGGGAAGAGCAGGCTGCAGAGGAGGAGGCAGGACACTGCCTCAGAAGTTCACTAGATGGCGCTGCGCCCTCAGCGAGCAGAAGAGCCCTCTCCTGGCCACTCCTCTCATTACAAGTCCTTCCAAACTGGAGCTCCGTTTTTCTTCTCTGTGCCTCCTGCCTTCCCACCACTCTTCTGATGGGCTTGTTCCCCTCCCCACGACCTCCAGTGAACCCAAAGTTCCGTTCCTCTCTCCCCAACCTTCTCCCTTTGCTCTGAAACACCCTCTTTAGGGACCAATTGCTCCTTCTAGACTGGCATTTTCTAGGCGACCAATCTGTCCCATTCTACTGGGGACTTTCCTGGATTTAATACTGAGAGGCCTGTATCCCAGGAAACCCTTTGGTGCTGGGGAAAATGGAAGACTTGGTCACCCTCATGCTAGTGTCCTCAAAATGTTATGAGATGTGAAAGGAAGAAGAGGGGAGGATAGAATGGCCGAGGGAGGGGGCTGGGGTCTTGGCTCAGTGGTAGAGCACTTGCCTAGCACATGTGATGAGGCACTGGGTTCGATCCTCAGCACCACATAAAAATAAATAATTTTTTTTTTTTTTTTTTAAGAGCCAAGTAGGTGGGGAATGCTGCAGATTATAACCCCTCTCTGTGAATCTCAAGTGTCTTCCGGGTTCCGTGAGAGCTACAGGAAAGACAGCCAGCTGGCTTCAACTTATGTCCTGAGATGCATTGATTGTGGGCAATCCCTTGGCATGTCAGGAAATCTCAGCTGTTCCAGGCACAGTGAGGAATGCCTCTCAAGGGACCTCCAGCCTGCTAGAGTGCTGCAGCTGGTCTCCCTTTCCATCCCAAACCAGTGTGGAACATCAGAAGACACCGGGGAAAGAGGAGGTAAGACAAAGTGGCCTGGTCCCCTGATCCCAGCTCACGCTGGAGCAGCGCCTGCCACGAGCTCAGAACATGTTAATTTGATGAGCTGCCTCAGTGGCACTGGGTAGCCTGAGGTCCTCAGGTTCTAGCAGGCTCTCTGCTCCTTGCTGCTGCTGCTGCTCAAGGGACCACAATTGGAGGAGTATGTCACTAGACCATGTCTCAAAGTGTGGCCCCAGACTACCTGGGGACATGCAAAAATGAGAACTCTCTTTTCATTCATTTTTTTGGTACTGGAGATTGAATCCAGGTGCTCTGCCACTGACTTACATCCCCAGACCTTTTTTTGTTTGTTTTTTTGTTTTTTGAGACAGGGTCTGAGTTGCCCAGGCTGGGCTTGACTTGAGATCCTCCTGCCTCAGCCTCCCGAGTCACTGGGGTTGCAGGTGTGCTCCACTGCACCTGGCTTAAAATGAGAACTCTTGTCTCTCACCCCAGACTCCTTAACCAGAACCTCCGGTGGGGCCCTGCAACCCTTGTTTGCATGAGCCCCCGGGTGGCTGTGAGGCACATTCAAGTTTGAAAGTTGCTGTAGGCCAGGGGTTGTGAGCCCAGCTGCCCATTTCATGACCTGGGGAGACGGGCCACATTGCTGTGCCAGCCTGGGCAGCAGGGTTGAGAACCTGACCACATTTTGAATTTGCCAAAATTCCTAGTTCTCAATGGACTTTGATCCAAGTCCTTGAAAAACACTGATGTTAGCCAATGATCGGGGCATCTAGGACCTGGAGGTATAAAAATTCTCCACCGAGTAAGCTGTGGGGTCCAGCAGGGTCAGCGGGGAAACTTCCTATAACAGAGTGAAGCGAGGCAGAGAAATAGCCGAGATCCAAGGGCAAAGGGCCAACTTCTGGGAGTGAAATGACATTGAGTCGTGGTGATTTTTCTTGTGGGTTGTCCCCCTTCCGCTGCGTTTCCCCCACGTAGCTGGCAAGGGTTGGAGCCTGCTCACCTCCTCAGCCCGTACACGTAACACAAGGCGATCGTCTCCACCAGGACGATGAGCAGCAGGGACAGCGTGGCCGCATAGTCATTGAATATGTCAAACCAGTAGTTCCCGGCCTCCATGGTGAACACCAAGCCGACGGCACAGCTGATGAGGCACAGCAGACCTGGGGGCACAAGACCAAGGGCTCACCTGCCCACACTTCCGCCCATGCATCCGATTTTCTATGGGGCAGCAGGAGCCATAGGCTCCTAAGGGGACTCTGGCCAATGGGTTCATCCACATGGATTGGAAGAGGGTGATGCTAGGCTCCTTGGGAAAGTGAGAGTGGTGAGCATTTGCTCTTTTGGGACTCTCACCTGGGCTGTGGGGCTGGGGATGATATTGATCCCATCCACTCAGCTCCAGAGCTCATGGACAGTCAATCAGGGAAAAGGCTTGAATGTGAGGTAGGGATCTCCATCAGGACTTCCTGGAGATATCTTTCATACCACCAGAGTGGGGAAGAAACTTAGTGTTTACCCAGCTCCTACTATGTACCAGGCACTGGCTATGAATTGTACCCTTAAACCTGCCAGGCAGGTATCAGGAATCACTTCCCCAGTGGGAAGCCAAGGCTCAGAGATGTCAAACAATTCATCCAACGGCCCACAGCACACGGTGGCAGAGTCAGGATTCAGACACAGGTGCCTCAGCCTCCAGAATTTGGATTTTGTCCCCGTCTCCTTCAGATGGGACCCCAGGAGGGGTTTGAAGCCTAAGCTCCCACTCCTTTCCACTGCACACCAGATAGTGATGGCCGCTGAGCCCCACTGCCATCTTCAAGGGATGACACCAGGAAAAAGGGGTAAGTGCTGTCTGGGGAGCTGCTTGCACACATGCTGGCTGCAGAGACAGGATTCTGAGCAGGATGCTAAGTGCAAGCAGACCCTCAAGAAAGGCAGGCGGCTCCAACTAAGGGAATCAGGACTTGAAGGAGATGGGAGGGGAGCTGGGTTTGGATCACCCTGGGCGTGGTGGAGGCATGGCACCAGCCACGGCACAGGCAGAGAGCCAGGCTCCGAGGTCCTCATGACTGGTGGGAATGGTGTAGAGCGAAGCCAGGAAAGATGTTCTGGGAGAAGCTGGTTCCTTCACTAACGACCCCAAGGAAAGCTGAATGGATGGAGAAACTGGTCTGCGCTCTTTCAATGGCTTCTTGTACGACAGGAAGAGTGTCTGGCAATTACTGCCCATGACCACGCAGTGGATTTCGTGGATTTTGAATGAAGACAACAGACTTCATTGATCCACAGTTCAAGGACAGTGCAGAGAGAACTAAAATGGTAGGACTCAGAATAGGGGAGGGCTGTAGGCATGCTTATTGCCCGGGAAGGAATCTGAGAAGGAGCTCTCTGGGGTCTGGGCAAAGTTCTTGACCTAGGTGGTGGATATTTGGAAGGACCTATAGGTAAAAATTCATTGCAGCGTCCTTAAGTAATATATGCTTGTAATCGTGATGCTTCAATGAACAGAAGCTGAATGTTATGGTTGGGACGTGAAGGGTCCCTCAAAAGCTCAGTGTGAGACAGTGCAAGAAGGTTCAGAGGAGAAGGGTTGGGTTGTGAAAGCTTAACCCCATCAGTGAATTAATCCCCTGATGCGATTAACAGTGGTAACTAAAGGTAGGTGGGTGTGGCTAGGAGGTGGGGCATTGGGGGCGTGGCTTTGGTGTATTTTTATATTTGACAAGTGGAGACCTCTCTCTCTCTCTCTCTCTCTCTCTCTCTCTGCTTCCTGGTCATCATGTGAGCTACTTCCCTCTGTCACACATTTCTGCCATCACATTCAGTCCCACCTTGAGCCCCAAGGAATGGAGTCTGCTGTCTATAGACTGAGACCTCTGACACTGTGAGCCCCCAGATAAACTTTTCCTCCTCTACAGTTGTTCTGGTTAGGTCCTTTTAGCCACGGCAGTGAAAAAGCTGACCAAAACACTGAAACAGTCTCTCTCCCATGCTGTAGTGTCAGGTTGGGGAGGTGGGGCAGGATTTAAGTTTTGGGTGACCTTTCCTGGGATGTTGAGAAGGGAATGCACAGGCTGACTCATAGGTCTCTGATTACAAGCAGCTAAGGAAGCACAGGACTGTAGTGAGGTTGCTTCTGTCACCTGGGGCCGCCTTGAGAAGCACAGGGCCCTTGAGGAAACTTAGCCTTGACTTGCCGTCACCTCCCAGCCCACCCTAACCCAACCTCTTCCACTGGCTAGCCCACTGACCTGAGATGGCCTCCTTGGGCAGGTGGCTGGTAATGACCTTGCTGTCAGTCAGAGGGGTGAGGATAGCTGCCGTGTTTCCCAGCATGCTCCCAATGCCCAGTACCAGCAGCATGAAGAAGTAGAGGACGGACCACAGCTGGGACACCTCCATGTTTTTAATGGCCTCAGTGTAGACGATGAAGGCCAGGCCAGTGCCCTGGACAGCCTGCTCGCGGTGAGAAGATACCAGTTGCACACCCATAGGATTGACAGTCTCCTGTCCTACACTCAGTTCTAAGCAACCTGGGCACCTTGGAACTAGCCAAAAGAAGCCATATTCTGAGCTTTGCATATGCCAAGCATGTATACTACTGCAATATGGGGGTTTAAAAAGAACTGGATAGCAATTGTATTTAAAACCAGAGGGATAGGAGGAGAGTGTTCAAAAGACTTTTTGCTACTTGGGAGGGAAATCAAGAGACGGTCTAACATTAGACTTTGTTAAGTTAAATATGCACAGGAAAATTTCCAGGAAAAAAAAAAAACAAAACAGGCATCCACATTTCAAATGGTAGAGGATTACATGGAATGAGAAGACGGTGGGGGAGAAAGAGAGAAAAGAACAAACAGAACAGGGGAAAAAAGTCTAAATAAATGAGTAACCATATAGTTCATGGACACAGAGCCAAGTTCAAAAGTTAGTGAGGGAAAAATCAAACCAAAACCAAAAAGGAAATGGGAGGTGAGAGGCCTGAACAGGACCTGGTGCTCAAGGGCCCCGTGGTGCTAAACAGAATCTAGGCCTTGATGCCTAAGGATGGGGTCTTGTCATGCGATTCTCCCAGGAAGGGAGGGTCACACCCCAGGGTGGGGCAGGCAGGGATCTGGGGCTGAATCACCAGGAGAAAGAAAGTGTTGCCCCACAGGTGAAATAACCCAGAATGCCTCCCCCATGTAACCAAGGGACCAACAAGCCCAAGAGACCAGCCTCCTGCAGCCTCCCTGGAGACCAGAGCCACGCTCTCCCTCTTCCCTATTCTTGGAAAGAATTCTCTAGAAGTCTTTAGAAGTATTTACATTAAGTATAAGAACTAGACAATATGCTTGCTGACACTTCTGTTAGGCTCAAAGCCCTGGTGCATACAATAAGAAAATGAAATGAGATACAACTACTGAAAATACAAAATTGTGTCTGTTTACACCAAAAAAAAAAAAAAAAAGCCCAGAAGCAAATCTATAAATGAATATGAAATTTTGTAGGCAAATTCATCAAAGTCGCTAGGTATGAGATCAATGTACAAAACCTATAGCTTTCCTTTACATCAAAAATAAACATGATAGAAAAGGGCGGGGGTTCCACTCACAATAGCAATATAACAACAAGGCAATATAAATCCACTAAATGATTTGCCAAAATATTCATGTAGAAAATTAGTTGTAGAATAAAACACCTGGGCTGGGGCTGTAGCTCAGTGGTAGAGCACTTGCCTAGCATGTGTGAGGCACTGGATTTGATTCTCAGCACCACATATAAATAAATGAATAAAATAAAGGTTCATGAACATGAAAAAAAAAAATTAAAAAATAAAAAGGAACAAAAGACCTAAGTGAATGAGAGAAAGCCTGTTCCTGAATCAGAAGTCGTGATTCAAAATATATTAATTCTTTCCAAATGACATTATAAAATTATCAATGCAACTCTAATGAAAATTCCCTAAGGGATCCCTCCCAGTGAAACCTGCCCATGTTATCCTAAAATTATTGTGGGAAAAAATGAAGATCCTAGCATAGCAGAGAGAATTCTGTAAACTATAAAAATTATTTTAAAATCAAAATGTGAAAAGCATCCAAATATCTATTAGTAAAGGGATGGATAAATAAGTTGTGGTATCATTGTGTGATGGAATAAAATAAATATAGCACTTAAAATGAATGTGTGAGATTCTAAATGTATTATTATGGACAGGTCTCAAAATTAAACTGTTGAATGAGAGAAGTGTCCTCCAGGACCACTTAGGCTCACTTAAAAACCACCAACAAAGCAATGATATCATCTAAGAATATGTAAACACATGGTCTACAAATATTTTTCCCATATGCTGGCTGTCTTCTCACTCTGTTCACTTTTCCTTTGCTGTGCAGAAGCTTCTTAGCTTGATATAATCCCATTTGTCTATTTTTGCTTTTGATGCCTGTGCCTTTGAGGTGTTATCTAAAAAATCATTGCCTATACCAATGTCTTGAAGTTCTTCCTTTGTTTTCTTCTAGTCTTACATTTCAGGTCTTACATTTAGGTCTTTGGTCCATATTGAATTGATTTTTGAATTTGGCAATAGACAGAGATCAGTTTCCTTTTTATGCACATGGATATCCAGTTTTCCTTGCATTGTGTATTGAAGAGACTATTCTTTCTTCCATTTATATTCTTGGTACCTTGTCAAAAATCAGTGGTGTCAGCAGCTCAGGAGGCTGAGGCAGGAGGATCACAAGTTCAAAGTCGGCCTCAGCAACTTAGCAAGGCCCTAAGCAATTTAGCAAGACCCTGTCTCAAAATAAACAATAAAGAGGCTGGGATGTAGCTCAGTGATTAAGCACCCGTGGATTCAATCCCTGGTACAAAAAAAAATAGTATGGATTATGCATATGGATTAATTTTTGAGCTCTTTATTCTGTTCCATTGGTCTATGTGTGTGTTTTTATGCCAGCATCATGCCTTTTTTGATTATAGTTTTGTAGGGTGTTTTGAAGTCAGGTATTGTGATGCTTCTAGTTGTTTTTGTTTTTGTTTTTTCCTTCTCAAGGTTGCTTTGGATAGTCTGGGTCTTTTGTTGTCCCATAGGAATTTTAGAATTTTTCTTCTGTGAAGAATGCCATTGGTATTTGATGTGGGTTGCACTGAATCTGTAGACTGTTTTTGGTAGTATGGACATTTTAACAATGTTAATTCTTTCAATCCATAAACATGGGATATCTTTTCAAGAGAGAGTGTGTATGTGTCCTCTTGAATTTCTTTCATGAGTAATTTGTGATTTTCATTGTAGAGATTTTTAAAAAATTTCTTTGGCTAAATTCCAACTATTCAATAGCAAAAATCCACATCATCCAATTAAAAATGTTGAATGATGTGAATAGGCATTTCTCAAAAGAAAACATGCAAGTACATGAGAAGATGCTCAACCTCACTAATCATCAAGGAAATGAAAGCCCAAGTCATATCTTATTCCAGTTAGAGTGGCTATTATCAAACATATAAAACAAACAAACAAATGCTCACAAACTCCTACACTGTGGGAATGTAAATTCATACAGTAATTATGGAAAACACTCTGAAAGCTCCTCAGAAAACAAGAAGTAGAATTTCTATATGATTCAATAATTCCCACTACTGCATTTATACCCAAAGGAAATGAAATCATTCTATCAAGGAGACACTGCTCTATGTGCTTATTGTAGTATCATTCCCAATAACCAAGATGTGGAGACATCAGTGGACAAATTGATAAAGAAAATGTGGTACACATATGCAATGGAACCTTATCCAGCCATTAAAAGAATGAAATTCTGACACTTGCATCAATATAGATAAAATTGCAAACATTAAATGTAATAATTCAGATACAGAAAGACATGGAAACTAAAAAAAAATCAATCTCAGAGATGGAGAGTGGTATGGTGGTCACCAGAGCAGGAAGGATAGTGAGGAAGAAGCATGAAAAGGAGTTAGAGGAGCATTTTTTATTTGTTTGTTTTTGCAATAGGGTCTCACTAAGTTGCTGAGGCTGGCCTCAAACTCAAGATCCTCCTGCCTTAGCCTCCTGAGTAGTGGGGATTACAGGAATGCACCACCACACCTGGCCAAGAGGTTAGAGGACAAGCATCAAACAAGGGACTGACAGAGGAGGAATTAGTTTTGGGAAGACCCTGTCTCAAAATAAACAATATAGAGGCTGGGATGTAACTCAGCCATAGTGCTGGAAATTGTCTAATCTCTGACAGTCTGTGCTGCTAAGTTCCAAAATAACTGTTTTGGATAAGAAGGGTTCAAAAGTTCCTAACACAGGAAAATGATTAATGTTTGTGGAGATGGAGGTGCTCATTTTCCTGAGTGGATAATTACATGTTATATACATGTATCCATCCTCAGCACCAAAAAATTATCATACTGTACCCCATAGACGTGCCTAAATATGTGCTAATAAAATACAGTTTAAAAAGAATATATACATATATACACACACATATGTAATAAAAATGAAGGTTCTTGTCTCCGGTGAGTAGGGAAAACTTAGGACCTATAATGAAGGAGAATTTAATTTTGTCCCTGAAACATCCTTTTAAAAATAACGACAGACTGATTACAAGTATTCATCCTGAGAGGCAGCTCTAGGGGTGTTTGCTATTTTATTCTCTGCCCATACCTTCCTATATTATTAAAATTAAGAGAAAAGGAGAAAGAAGGAAGGCAGAGAACCCAATGGGGCTTTATAATAAGGAGGGGTCCCCAGCAGCGCCTGGGGAGAGCGGGGGTCAAGTCTCTGTTCTCTGAGTTACAGGGAAAGTAAATCCATCTTTCCTGGTGTCCGGGGACTGGGTGGGTGGCAGTTCTCAGGGCCCCTGGGAAGTGTGTGGAGAGGCCAGCCCCGCCCTTCCCAGGTGCCTTACCGTGTCCAGCTCTGACTCCAAGCTGCAGTTTTTAATGAGTGGGACCACCTCGCTGTATCTGCTCGGATCGGTGGACGCCAGGTAGTCCTTCACCTGCTCCAGGTTGCTGGCTGTCACAGAGCCATCTTCAAGGTCGAAAGAGTTGGTCAGCAGCAGAATCACCCTGCAGAGCAGACCATCAGCTTGACCTTCACTGGCTGGCAAGGTCGCTATCCCCAAGGGCTCTCAGAAGCTGGGGTGGGGGTGGGGATCTGTCCTCCCACCAGCCTCTACCTTCTGGTTTAGGTGGGGATCTGTGGACTGGTGACTCTTTCGGAGACAGGGTAAAGCTGTGATGGCTTTGAGAAAGCCTCAGATATAAACGGGCAGGACAAAAGGAGCCAGACCCCCACCTGAGGCCCTTTGAACACCTGGACCAGGGAAGTGTGACGGAATTTCCTCTGATGATGGATCTGCTTCAATCTGTCACTACTAACCACGTGCGGTGACAGACTACTTGAGTGTGGCCAGTGCCACTGAGGAAGAATTGAAAGGAAATCTGGAATTATCTAAATGGAAGTTCATGTTGGCATGCAAATTATTCCAAGGTAAATTAGCCGGCATGAATTTAAACTTTAATGGAAACAGGGCTGCCATGTTGGAATCTCACCTTCTAGAGGGTGCTTCTGTGGTTTTGGTCAAGTTTTGGTCCTCTCTGGGGTTTGGCCAGAGAGGACTTGGTTACTTTATTTTTTTAAAAAAAATTTAATTTATTTTTATTTTTCTCTTTTGAGATGGGGACTCCCTGTGTTACTACCCAGGCTGGTCTGGACTCCTGGGCTCGGGTGATCCGCCCACCTCTGCCTGCCCAGGCCTGGGAGCCTGGTGGGCACCAAATGCTGGGCTTTGGATACTTTTGAGACTGGGGAGACGGATCAGCAGACACTGAAGTTGTGGGTTGAATGCTCTCTTCTGCTAGGTACACAGAACCCCACAAACCAGCCCCTTCCCTGTAAGGCCGACCTTGACTGGCCCCAGGACCCTCCCTCAGCTTCTGGTCCTGATGGTGGGAAGCCTGAAACTGACCCTGGATTGAGGACTCCCAAACGGGTGCTCTCGGTGACCCCTGGGCCTTTGAACGTCACCTCTTCCCTGTCCCCACTTCAGCTCAGAGCTCTGGGGACTCGGCCCCCGTGTGAGGCCGGCGTCTCTGGGGGACAGCCCAGGCTTACTTGTTTAAGCAGCTTTCGTAGTTAAAGGTGGCCTTGAAGCCGTAGATGGAGAAGGTGACGATGCTGGCGAATATGGAGGTGGAGCTGTTGATGAGGGACACGGTGATGGCGTGCTTCTGGCAGTTACTGCTGGGCTCGTTGTAACTGGCGAAGGCGATCAGGCTGCCGAAGCCCAGGCCGAGCGAGAAGAAGATCTGTGTGGCCGCATTGACCCAGGTCTTGGGGTTGGCCAGCTGCTCGATCTGAGGACCAGCAGGGGACAGGGCCCATGAACCCAGGGCCCCGTGCCCAGGCTCTCAGATCCATGGGAGAGGGAGGCCCAGGGCAGAAGGGATGGGGCTTCCAGGGCGCAGCCAGTCAGGGCAACCTGGGGCTGGAGCCCAGCTCTCCTGCCCAGTCCATTCCCCAGGAGGATAACTGTGTGGCCTTCTCAGGTCGTATCCTCCGTGGCACCTTACCCACAGGAGGTTTGCAACCGAACATTTAGGGTAAAATGATTTTTTTTTTTAAAAAATGCACTGATCTCTGGTCCACCAGCCAGGTACTCTGTGAGTCTGGATATTAAGTGGTTGTGGCTTGGAGGTGGAGTTCAGGTCTGGATTGCATCTGGTGCTGTTATTGTGGACGTTTGGAACAAGAGGGTGCATTTGTGGGGATGGTACAGTTATTCTGATTCCAGGTGCTAGATTTTCTAAATGAAGAACTTGTCCACCCCACAGGTTCCCCGCTGATGAGCTGTGGGGTGCTGGAAAATGGGGAGTTGGGAGGGGATGGTGGATGACCTGGAGGAAGCAGGTAACAGGTGAGGGAGATGATGGAGCCGAGCCTGTGGCACCCGGCTCTGGGGAGAGTCTGGGTGGGGCTTTGGGGCAGGGAGGCCAGAAGGGAGGCTGGGGCAGCAGTTGGCTGGGGGCAGTGAGGGCAGGAGGGACTGGAAGCAAGACTTCACGGACTGGGGACCACCTCCTGAGGAGGCGGTCCAGCCCCCAAGTGACCCACACCCCTAGCCCCAGCCTCGGAGCTCCCAGCACCCTCTGTGTGCAGCTTCCCCCTCCCTCCCACCTCCAGCCTCCCCAGAAGGTGGCGGGATGTGACAGAGAGGCATCCTCAGGGTCCCTCCCCTGCAGCCTGTACCTTGGGCGTGAACATGTACATCAGCCCGTTGGTAGCTCCATGGAGCGTGAGGCCCCTGATCAGGTAGATGATGAGCACACAGTAGGGCAGCAACGCCGTGAAATACACCACCTGTGGGCGTCAGAGGGTGGAGTCAGCCTCCTGGGGAGGGATGGAGGGCAGGGTCGACACATGCCCTGCCCCAGTGACATCTGGAAGAGACGTGGACATTCCTGGTTGGACACAGTGTCCAAGGTTGGGCTGAAGAAATGGGCTGGCTGGCTGTGGCCACCCCGTCTGTCACCACCAGGAAACCTCCTATTCTACACAGGAGGGGCCGGTGGGCATCGGGGCTTTCCCTGGGCTCCGCCTTCGCCCTGGCCCCAGTGTGCGTGGTGGTGAGTGGCCCAGCTGCCTCCAGTCGACCACATCCAGATGGCAGAGACCCCAGAAGCTACGTAGGAATTGTCACGGTGCTAGATAAAGAGTTCAGTCTGAAAACAAAATGTGGGCAATCAGTAATGAGGCCAGAGAGAAAGAGTGACAGTCTCCACCCAATTTCTATGAAAGGCTCACTTTCTCAGGCTTGAAATTGCACAAAAGTGGAATTTTGGTCAAGCAAATCTTTTCCCTGTTCACATGCATTGCAGATTCAAGGACTCTCCCTTCCTCCCTTCTTCTTCCCTCCCTCCCTCCCTCCCTTCCTTCCTTCCTCTCTCTCGTTTTCTTTCTTTCTTTCTTTTTGGGTACCAGGGGCTGAACTCAGGGGCACTCGACCCCTGAGCCCCATCCCCAGCCCTATTTTGTATTTTATTTAGAGTCAGGGTCTCACTGAGTTGCTTAGCGCCTTGCTTTTGCTGAGGTTGGCTTTGAATTCTCAGTCCTCCTGCGTGAGCCTCCTGAGCCACCACAGGTGTGCGCCACTGTGCCCGACTCAAGGACATTTTTCTCTTGGTTTTCTTGGTAGCTTTGGCAGGAGCCTCTCATTTTGGGGATCATCCTAACTTTTACAAAGCCTCAAAATAGGGACCTTTTTGAGGCATGGTGTCGCACACACCTGCAATCCAAGCGACTCAGGAGGCTGGGGCAGGAGGACCATAAATTCCAGGTCAGCCTTGGCGACTTACTGAGGCCTTGCCTCAAAATCAAAAATGAAAAGGGCTGAAGGTGTAGCTCAGAGGTAGAGAGAGCATCTCTGGGTTCAATCCCCAGTACCATGCACACAGGCCTTCCACAGCACATCTGGAGTGGATAAAGAAAATGTGGTACATATACACAATGGAGTATTACTCAGCCATCAAGAAGAATGAAATTATGGCATTTGCCAGTAAGTGGATGGACCTGGAGACTACCATGCCAACTGGAATAAGCCAACCCCAAATAACCAAAAGCCTAATGTTATCTTTGATATGTGGATGCTAATACACATCCAGGGGTGGGGCGGAGAGGAAGAATAGAAGTTCATTAGTTTAGACAAAGGGGATTGAAGGGAGGAGAAGGGGATGGAAATAGGAAAGACAGAATGAATGGGACAAAACTTTCCAATGTTCATATATGAACACACGACCAGGGAAACTCCACATGGTGTACAACCACAAGAATGGGACCCTAAATAGAATAAGTTATACTCCATGTAGTGATCGGCCAGAATACACTCTACTGCCATGTACATCTAAAGAGAACAAATTTAAAGATTTTTTTTTTTTTTTAAAAAAAGCACGTCTGCCCACCCACAGTTCGATTTTTTTCTGTAGATCACTTCCTAAGTACACCAGAGCCTTCTAAGTCAAGCAAAGGAGTATTTGGTAGGAGATGGGCGCAGTGGTGCACACTCCTGAAATCCCAGCAGCTCAGGAGGCCAAGGCAGGAGGATCACAGTTCAAAGCCAGCCTCAGCAAAAGCGAGGCACTAAGCCAGTGAGATCTTGTCTCTAAATAAAATACAAAAAAATAGGGCTGGGTCAAGTGCCCCTGAGTTCAATCCCCAATACCCCTGTCCCAGAAAAAAGGAGTATTTGGTGGGCCGTTTTGTGTATGAGTGCCCTTATCTTTTGGGTCCTCCTGGGAGAAACACAGCTGGTGATTGACCCTTGTCCCAAGGGGCTTGAATGACACTCAGCCTTCCATGTCCTCTGAGGCATGGCGCCATCTTCCCATGAATTTCCAAAGCCACCAGTGTGATGCTCTGTGTCCTCTCGCCCAGACAGCACACAGACGCAGGGCATGTCCTTCCACTGCTTCTGAGCTGGGGTCATTACAGCTTGAGAGGAGTAATAAGTGTTCCCAGGATCAGGAGACAACAGGGAGACGAGGTGGATAAGGGGGAAGACAGGGCATCCGCCAGCACCCTGAAGGCGCCCCAGGGACACTGCCCCCAGCACTAGGCACTGAGGGGACACTGGGGCCAGCTCGTGGGAGTCCCCTCTTTCTCCGCAGGGGACGAGTTCCCCAGAGGCTGTCTGCAGTCCCCACCAGGTGGCTCCTTCTCTTTTCCATGGTATGAGCAGGATGTTGGGCACGATCAGCTCAACCTACTGGGAGGAGCCGTTCCTGACCACTCTATAACAGTTCACGGAGGAGGAGGTGCAACAGAGGGGAGTGGCTCTGCCCTGGCCCTGCCCTCATAACTGTGCCCTTGGGCAAGTCATGTCACCCCTCTAAGCCTCAGTGGGGTTCCAGCAAGGACCTGCTGGGATGGGCTGTTGCAGGATGGGACGAGGTGAGTGCCCACCACATGGGTCTGCAGTGAGGAGGGACCGTGTCCGAGGCTGGGCCCACCAGGGCACAGGGCCTGGGCCACAGATTCACCCAGGTGGCCGGTGACGGAATCTCTCAGAGCAAACATGTCAGCCCTGGGAGGAGCGTAAACCTGGGGACTCAGCAAGGACAGGAGACTCGGGAAGACCAGGCCTGACTGCTCCGTGTGCTCTGTGGGCGCTCATACACAAAACAGCTCACCAATACTTCCTTTTTCGGGAGCAGGGGTACTGGGGATTGAACTCAGGGGCACTTGACCACTGAGCCACATCCCCAGCCCTATTTTTTTGTATTTTATTTAGAGACAGGGTCTCACTGAGTTGCTTAGCACCTTGCTTTTGCTGAGGCTGGCTTTGAACTTACGATACCCCTGCCTCAGCCTCCCGAGATACAGGCGTGTGCCACCGCACCCAGCCTCATTTTTCACAAAGTAGTGAATGAGCCCTCATTTTGAGATTTGACGCTGTACCTCCCACCACCCCTGACCATCTTTACTGGGACCTAGTTGATGGTCTGTGCTGGCCACACTGTGGGTGTCCTCGGCCCCAGCCAGCTCCTACCCAGCATTGCAGAAGCAATTCCCGGCCTTGCCCAAGGTTGGGGACAGGCAACTGCTCCTGCGCCCACCCACCTCAGGGAGCACTGCACCCTCCGGGGGCCCTGGCCCACCTTGCCCGTCGACTCGGTGCCCCGCAGGATACACAGATACACCATCAGCCAGGCCAGGATGAGGCACAGCGCCGGCTCCCACTGCACACCCCCGGTCTCCTGGATGGACGGGGAGATGTTGAGGGTCTTCCTGTACCAGAAGTACTGCGTCGAGGAAGCCTTCTCACACTCCTCCTCGTAGCCCGTGTGGTTCCCGTTCAGTGGGCAGACAGACCACGGCAGCGGGTCCTTTAGGATCGAAAAGCATCAGACAGAGAGGCTATAAAGGTCAGGTGGGGTGATGGATGAGAAGGATGCTGGTCCCCCCCAGGGCAGGAGGTGGAGCTGCTGAGACAGATGGGGAAGCAGGGTTTGTCAGGGCCACCAGAGGGACCTCAAGGGGCTCGGTATGGTTTGGATGTTGAGTTCCCCCAAAGACCCATAGATAAAGACTTGGGCTCCAGAGTAGCAGTATTGGGAGGTGCTGTGGGCCTTTAAGAGGTGGGGCCTAGTGAGAGCTCATTAGGTCATGGAGACTGTGTCCTTGATGGGGAAATGGGACCGCATTCTTCTCTCTCTACTCTTGTTCAAGATGTGACCATTTTCCCCCATGTGTGGTCCTGCCATGATGTACTGCCATCTGCCACTCTTACTAGGATCCAAACCAATGGGACCCATCTGATCTTGGTCTCTGAACTCTCCAAACTATAAACTAAATCCTTTCTCTTTATAACTTAGCTGCCTCAGGTATTTTGTTATAGTAATGCAAAACTGACTAATGCAAAGACTACTTGACTTGCAATTCTGCAGGCGTTTGTTAAGGACCACCAAACTCCGTTGTGCATCTAAAAGATTGAGGAAAAAGTGGACAAAGGATAGGCCAGCTATGATTAACTCTGTAACCCACCACCTCTGTAGCAGCCAGACCCAGAACTCAAACCCCAAACTACAGCACTGGTCATAATGATCAGGACTTAGGCAATAACTCATGTATTCCCTGTTGTTTGCCAACCCAGGATTAAACAGAGAAACTCAAATATGTGCCCTAACCAATCACATAGAATGTCTCTCTTCTCCTTAGCCCACCTCTAGCTGCTCCAAGCTAACACCCCTAATGGGGCACATCTGCTGGAAGAGATAGGCATTTCCTTCCATGGACATTGGATCTGGAAGCCAGAGGGGAATGAGGTTCACCATCCTGAGGCCATCATACCCCTAGGACCAGAGAACCCCATATTGTGACTTCTTTGAGCTCCAGTCAGCTACACCTGAAGCACTTAGACTCATGGACTTTGTAGGGAGGAGTCAGTAAGATCTTCTTCTGCTTAAGCTGGTTTGCCCTGGATTCTCCAGCATTTAAAAGCAAAGGAGGCTAAATGGTGCCTGTACAATGAGCAAAATCCAAGGCCAAATGCAAAACAGAGATACTGAATGGCAGTGTAAAGGTCAACTTGAATTGTCAGCTTGATTGGATTAAGAGATACCAAGGATCAAGAGGCTTCTGGGTGTGTCAATGAGGGTGTGTCTAGGAGTGATTGGCATGTGGGATAGCCAACTGAAATGGAGACCCTCCCCAAGCACAGGCAGCACCATCCAATAAGATGAGGGCTTTGGGGTTGGGGTTGTGGCTCAGAGGTAGAGCGCTCACCTGGCAAGATCAAGGCCCTGGGTTGGGTCCTCAGCACCACATAAAAAATAAATAAAGATATTGTGCCCAGCTACAACTAAAAATTAATTAATTAATTAAAAGGAAAGTATAAAAATAACAGATGAGGGCTTGGATGGAATAAAAGAAGTGGGAAGAACAGGGAGCAGCAGTGGAGCCAAGCTGGGTTCTTCTTGAGCAGGTTCTTGTTTGCGGCTGCCATCTCCTGAGGACATCAGACTCCAGCTCCTTCACTCTTCCAAGGTGGACTCTGCCAGTGACTCTCCAGGGGGGGTTCCAGAAGCCTTTGGTCCCAGACTAGGGTAGCATTGCTGATCCCTCTTGTTCTGAGGCTTCAGCCTCTTGGACGGCCCAATGACTGGCCCCTCCAGCTCTCCAGCCTGCAGATGGCCATTGTGGACGGTCCAGCTCTGGTTGTGTGAGCCAGTCTAATAATCATACCCCTTTTTATAACCATCCCTCCTGTTGGTTCTGTTCCTCTGGAGAACCCTGACTGTTAGGCAGGGATGGAGGAAAAAAAATTAACTCTGAGCATCCTTCAAGACCCGTCCCGTGTTGATCAGTTTGGGGTGTCTCTGGGGTTCCACAAGCTCAGATTCCTCAGATCAGACAGAGCTGTTCCTCTAACAAGAGCGAGTCTGACCTTCACCTTAGGCTTACTCCCTTGATAGTTCACAGTCCACACCACCAAGGCCCAGTGGTGTTACCTGACGGGTCATGGCTACTCTGCAGCCAGGGCTGGAGCCCAGGCTTACACCCCTGTTGGTGCTCAGGCCCTGTGCAGGGGACACCCTGGCCACAGAGCCACCCTGGCTTGCTGGGGTGTGGGAGCCAGATTCTAGCTTTGATCCAGATTGTTTGCGAAGCCGCCACAGCCCTCCCCCCTCCCTCTCTGCACTAGAGCAGCCTCCCCCAGGACAGCTGGCATCTTCTGCCCCGCCCTGGGTAGGCCTGGGGCTTTCTGTGACCAACAGAGTGCGGGGCAGAGAATGAGGGTGACTTCCTGTGGAGGCCTTTGGGGCCTTTAGCCGCCTGTCTATCATCTTGGAAACCAGCTGTCACGTGAAGATGGTCAGCAAGACTTTGGAAGGATGAGGCCACATGGACAGAGAGGCCACCAAGAGGGAACTCAGGGCCCAGTGACAGCACTGGGTCCCTCCCAGGTGAGACAGGCCCTTTAGACAGGCTGCCCAGTTGGCCCACCCCAGCCAGCGTCTCCAGGGCCATTTATTGGGCCATGAGGGACTGACTGGGTCTATCCACTGACCCCTCTGCCGAGGCCAGAGTGACATGCACAGTTCCAACTCTTCCTGGAGGATAGATCACCCAGGGAGATGACGCCCGGGTGCACCACCAAGGCTCTGGTGGCATCTGTGTGGGGTGAGGTCCAGGCATCAGGTTTTTGAAAGCTCCCTCCAGTGTCCGTGTGCCACCAGGGCGAAGAAGCTTCGGAGTCGGTGGAGCAAGGGTGGCCCCGCTGCCCTGTCCCCAGCAGGATCCTGATCCCATTGGTAACAGCCTGAGGCTGAGTGCCCCTGAGCAGCAAGTGACCTGTAACCATGGGACTGGATGTTTCCACATAGGACCAGCCTGGCACGGAGTGAGCGCCAGTGAGCGCCTCCCACACCCTTGTTGCCGCTATCATGTGACCGTGGGGGAGGGCTCCAGGGGAGAGGGACTGGGGGAGGCAATGAATGACCTGTGAAGGATGGGGTGCATGAACATTCAGGTGACTATCTGGAATCGCTGCCCGCCCCCAGTTCTGAGGACTAGAAATAAGGACCCCTTTTGGGTATACTTTATTTTCACCTTTGGAAGATGAGTGAGTCGTTTCTGACCTTATTAGACAAGACATCTTGCTTCCACCTTTGGAGACTTGTCTTCACAGGCGTAGACATCGAAGCCAGACAAGTTGGTGCATACCTGTAGTCCCAGCTACTCAGGAGGCTGAGGTGGGAGATCACTGGGCCACGTGTTTGAGACCAGCCCGCACAACACAGCTAGACCCCATCTCAACGATAGCGAAAGGATACAAATCTAGAATGTCTGCGATAATGCCTACACCTCTTTCAGAGTGCCACTGTGCAGTGTACAACCTGCCCAACCATATGTGGCAGCTCTGCACAGAGGAGGGCATGTAGGCCCCAGCATTTAGAGTAAAAAGAGCTGCCCTGTGTCCACCCAGAAGTCTGGGGAGAGGCAGAGTTGTAGTCAGTCTTCAAGGAACTCTAGCCAAAGCCAGGGAAAGAATGTGGTACTTTGGCTAAACTCAGGGCAGGGTCCTTCCCATCTGGGAGTGTGTGATGGGGCAGCCTTGGGGGCAGGGGGCTCCTTGGGAGGCCACAGTCGGATGGAGATGCCACCTTCCCAGTGGAGATGTCAAGTCAGGACTTTTAGAATAACTCACCCAGGTATTCCTGGGGGCCCCAAAGACTCAAGGATAAGGATTCTCAAGGCCTCAGGAAGCCTCACGGACTGGGGACAGTTGACAGCCGATGGCCAGACCTGCCTGGCTTTGGGGCCATGGGAGAACATCTGAAGCATGAAGGTCAGGCTCAGAGCCAACGGGGAGGTGGTGGCCAGGCTGGTCCTGCCTCCTCCTCTTTCCCATCTGGGGAGAGGCTGCTGGAAGGGGGATGGGGCAGCAGGCAGAGGGGTCCCTGAGAGTGACCAGGCTGGAGCCGAGGACGAGAGCTGGTGAGCAGTGGTCAGGGGTGCTCTGGGCTGGGCTGGGGTTCTCTCTTTTGCCCCACAACTTCCAGCCCTCTCTGCATCTTCTGCAACGAGCATGAGCTCTGTGGATGGTCAGGACACTGTTTAGAACAGCTCGTCTTTGAGAAGAGCCTCTTTTGTGTTAAGGGTGACCATGGCCCTTCTGGGAGGAATTTGGGGTCTTCCGGAAAAAGGAGAGGCTCAGCCCTGAGCTCCAAACCTGAAAGGCTAAGTGGCCATGGCAGGTAGGCAAAGGGGGGGGCAGAAGCAGAGGATGGACAGTCCCTACAGACTCGCTGGGATGCTGAAAACAGTCCCCACGTGCCACAGGCTTTTTCCTGGACATTTCCTGGTGCATTCCTGTCATCCCAGCAGCTCAGGAGGCCGAGGCAGGAGGATCGCGAGTTCCAAGCCAGCCTCAGCAATGGGGAGGCCCTGAGCAACTCAGTGAGACCCTGTCTCTAAATAAAATACAAAATAGGGCTGGGGATGGGGCTCAGTGGTCCAGTGCCCCTGAGTTCAATCCCAGATCCCTCCCCCACACCCCAAGAAAAAAAAAGGTCCTTAATATATTTGGGGTCACATCCTTCAGAGAGAATCAAAGGATAACTGTGGACCTCAGTCCCAGAAATAGGCAAGAGCTCATCCACCTGCACAAGCCGGCTCACGGTGCCAGTCTGGAGCCAAGGTCCTGGGGCAGAAGCCCTCCTCCCCCTGGCAGGGGCGGCTTGCTTCCCTCCCACCCTCCTGTCACCCTCTGGCTCCCCAGAGACTGGCATCCTCCACCCACCACCCGAGGTGGGTGGCTTACATCCACCCCCTTTCTCGCCCTGCTCACCTGGAAGGAGTGGAAGAGGTACCAGAAGCTCCAGGCGTTGATGACGTTGTAGTAGATGGTCCCAAAGAAGGAGACCACCACGCTGGCGATGCCTGCCAAGAAGCAAGGGTGGCACTGAGGACTAGACACCGGTGGCCCTGTCCAGCGCATGCTCCCAGGACACACCCGGGGTGACTCCCTGCAACAGGTAAACCTCCCTCCGTGGAGTCTGTGTGACCACTGTGACCTTCGGGAGAGTTCTTTCTTTCTTTCCCCCCGCCCCCCACCATCTTCTGGGACGTGAGGCCAAGCACCGGTCTTGGTTTTTGTCGTTGGGACGGCTGTGCCAGGTACCAGGCTACAGTCCTCAGATGCGTTTGGTCCTCGCCACTGCATTGCCCCCATTTCACAGAGAAGGAAACTGAGGCACATGGTGTGCCCAAGACTGCCCAGCTGGCAAGTGGCAGAGGTCAGATTTCAGCCTCGTGGGAGAAGCTCTTTGTCACACGGCAAGCACCAGCCCCAGGCCCAGTGTGACCACAGCTGCCTCTTTGGCTCACTGAAGGTTGAGTCCTAGGGGCTAGACCCTGCCCTCTGGCATTAGGGAGCAGGGGCATGAGGGGCGGGGTAGGGAGTGGTGGGAATGGGCTGCCTGGGTCTGGTCAGGACTGTAGAGCTCAGGGTGGGGTTGTGAGCCAGCGAAGGTGGGCCACCAGGGGTGCCCTGAGCTGCCCACACAGGCCTTTAGAGCTCTGTCCCCCACACTTTCCATCCCACACCAGGGAGGGCTCTCAAGGAGACTGGCGTGGGCCGTGGTGGGGACATTCAAGCTGCCAGTATCAGCAAGCTGCAGGACATCGATCCCCACCTCCGGCTACCCTTGGGGTGCTGGGTACTCAACGGGTTCCAGCACCCCAGAGTGACATGCACAGCGACCGTCTTTCCTGTGACAGAGCTCACGCTGCCTCTGTGACTGCTGACCCAGGCAGACGGTAAAACCGCACGCTGTGTTAAAAATGAACAGCCTTTCAAGGTGAGGGGCGTCTAGGTTCTGGAGATGACTTGAGAGGCCACTGGACACGTGGCTCTTCTGGGTCTGAGATCAGGTCCTGTCAAGCTGACTCCTGCCTCACTTCTGCCAGGAGTCACCCTGCTTTCCTGGGGTTGTGCAGAGCAGTGCTGGAGATCCCAGCTCAGGCATCTGGGGAAAGACGTGGTTTGAAGCAGCAACCCTGCTCTCCATGTGTGCCTCAGCTGCAAACGTTAATAGCACCTCCTCCAGCAACCTCTCAGGGGTGCAATGAAGGTTAAATAAGCTCATGAGCTTGTGTCTTGTAGGCAGCACCCAGCACAAAGTAGGTGCTCAGTAAGAGAGAGCTGTTAATTAACAGGGAGCAGTTATGTGCATTTTCTGAATGGTTGCTGGCTGGGCTGGAGTTAGAGCCCCTGGGCTGGGCAGCTGCTTCCCTTGTACATATTTCCAAGCTGAGGCCCAGAAAGGAGAAGCCACGTGGTATCAGTTTCCCAGGGTGCTGCCCTGTGGGTCAGAATCCCAGCCCCTCTCAGCCCCTCCTGGGCTGTCAGTCCATCCTGTCATGTGCTTTCTCTGGGGCCCCATGCTGGCTGATGGATTCCCACCCCTGTGCTCCCAGGGGACTGAAAGGTGGAAGGGGACTGGAGAGGCCTCACATACCGACACCGCTGAGGTAGGGGCTGATGGTCCTCCAGGCACCGATGCTGCCCTGCCGCATGCGCTGCCCCACGGCCAGCTCCATGTACAAGAGTGGCATTCCCTCCACGAAGAGCATGATGAGGTAGGGGACCAGGAAGCTACCTGCAGGCATCCAGAGCTGAGGGTCAGGCCGGCACTGCAGATGGCCTTTCTCCACCACCTGTGCAAACGCCCTTCCCTCATCCTCCCACCTGTCCTTGCCTCCTTCTGCCTTGTATCTGTCCTCTCCGTCTACCATCTTCTGCCTGCCTGGCTCCCACCACTCCACATGTCCACCCCTCACCTGTCCCTCTCACTCATCCATCATCATCCATCCATTTTCCTTCCTGTCTCCCATCACCCATCCATCTGAATGGATCATCCAACCACCCAGCCACATATCTATCCACCCATCCACCCACCCAGCCACACATCCATCCAGCCATCCACCCAGCCACACATTCATCCATCTAGCCCGCCAGCCACCCATCCATCCACTCATCCATCCATCCATCCATCCACCCACCCATCCACACATGCATCCTTCCATCCATCCATCCATCCACCCATCCATCTGCACATCCATACATCCACTCATCCACCCACACATCCACCCACCCATCCACTCATTCATCCATCCATCCACACATCCATCCATCCATCCACCCACCCATGCATCCATCCACATGTACATCCATCCATCTATCCATTCATCCATCCATCCACTCATCCATCCATCCATTCACACATCCACCCATCAATACACCCATCCATCCATCCATCCATCCATCCACACATCCATCCACCCATCCATCCACCCATCCACCCATCCATCCACCCATCCACCCATCCATCCATTCAACCTCTTTTTCTTTCTACTCATCCATTCATCTATCATCCATGGAAGACATGCAGACATGTCAGTTGTCAAAATCTCTAAGTGTCCCCACCCAGGGTGGAAAGCTGCCTCCATCCCATGCTCCCTGGTTGTCCCCTTCAACTCCTCTTCCAGAACCCCCCTTCCATCTTCTATTTCAGCAGCTAAGGGTTGATCAGAGCCAGGACACTGGGTCGCTGCACTTTTTGAACATTCCCCCTTGAGCCCGTCCACCTAGCTGTCTCCCTCTACTCACTTCCTTGGGGCCTGCGCATAGCCCTGGTGGTGCCCGGGTGAGGTGGAGCACTCACTCTGCCTAAGGCCTGGGCATGGATGGGATGGGAGATTAGCAGCCCCTGTTTCCCGCCCTGGAGGGCTCACCTGGGCAGAGGGGTTTCAGTTGCCTATCATTGCCCAGGGGCACAGAATATTTCTCCAGGCCTGATATGTCAGAGACGGCTGCCCAGTGGATAAAGCTCTAGGCACCTCTCTTTTATGGAGCATTTCTGGGTGTGTTGAACAGTACCTTCCACCTAAAATATCACTTTAGTAGAGGGAACTGTGACTCATAAGAACCTCAAACCCACCGTTTCCTTTGGAGTCGTTGCAGGTAAGTGTCCTTGGTGATGGGAGGAGCTGGGGAGTGGGAGGGGGCTGTGGTACCCCACCCTGCCAGACCAGGCACGGCACAGAGGCAGGCCACCTGTAGAAGGGCCCCCACCTGCCCTGGAGAGGAGTGGTCCCCCAACCTACCCCGGGAGCCCCTCAACCATCCCTCTCCAGTTCCTGGCTCCTTGACTGGGGACCCAAGAAAAGTCCAAAGAGAGAAAGCGGGGTTTTGGTTAAAATAAAGCCCTGACACTATAGCTGTGGGGATTATGAGCTGGTTACAGAAGGAACTGATGACCCAGGTGTTAAGATAAACAAGAAAATATATATCCTTTTTATTTTTTGTAGTACTGGGGATTTAACCCAGGGCACTTAATCACCGAGCCACATCCTGAGCGCCACCCCCCCTCCCCACCCCCTGCCACTTTATTTGAGACAGGGTCTCACTGAGTTGCTTAGGGCCTCCCTAAGTTGCTGAGGCTGGCTTCGAACTTTCGATCCTCCTGCCTCAGCCTCCCATGTTGCTGGGGCTATAGGCGTATGTCACTGCACCCTGCGGAAGTATATATTCTTACATAAAAATCCAATAGTTAAAAAATGCTTCCATGGTACATGAGCACTGGCCTGTACCCTGGCTTCTCGCCAGCAGGTGTTTGCAAGCCCTCTCCAGACCCCACGGGGATCTCTGCATCACCCTTACCCAGCTACGGACGCATTCAGCCCAGGACGCATTCACTCAATCCTGGACCCTCAGGCTGTGTCCAGTTTTCTGCCATCCTCAACAGAGCTGAGGATTGCAGCCTGGACCACTTGCTTGGTCTTATGCCTGGGGCTACAGATCCCAGAAGTACAATGCTAGGACAGAAGCCATGTGGTCATTGGTCCACCCCAGAGGGACGGCAGGAGCAGTGCAGGGGACAGCTAGAGCCTGCAAGGAGGCTTTCAGGAGGGTCCAGCTCCTCTCTGTGTGCGGGGGCCTTGGCAACTGCAGCTCATTTCAGGACACCCCTAGGAGAATCCTCCAGGCCTGTCCCTTCCTGTCCTCAGGGACATGCTTTGACATTCCACCAGGTTTCTCTGGGTGTCTGAGGCTCTCAGTGGCTTCTACCCATGAGCCAGGATGGCTGTGTCCATCCCTCGGAGTTTATAAAGTAAGCTTAGACTGGGGGTGTGGCTCAGGGACAGAGCACTTGCCTGGCAGGTGTGAGGCCCTGGGTTCCATCCCCAGCACACACACAAAAAATCGTATTCTCACCCAAAGTGTCAAACAGTAACCACATCTGGCAAGGTTCATGGGACAGCTTGCCTCTGGAACACAGCCCGACTGTCCACGGCCCTGGGTCAGGTGGAATTCCGAGGCTCCGTGCCCAGGTGGAAACGTGAGGGCATGTCGCCCTACCTGTCAATCATTTCTCTCTTTCCCCCTAACCTTCCACAAATAACCAATTCAGGGAAATGTGTCCTGAAGTCCTTTTGTCAACAAATGATCTTAGGACAATCGAACATCTGTGTGGAACGGCACACCTCAACCCACAATTCACAGTTTATATAAAAAAATCTGACAAAGGATCATAGACTTGTATGTACAACTAAAAGCTATAAAACTCCAAGGAGAAAAGGAGAAAATCTTTATGCAAAGATGTCTTAGATACCACCGCAAAAGCCCCTTCTGGGGAAAACAATATGTTGATAAACTGATTTTCACTGCTTCTGCTCCGTGAAAGATACTTAAGAGAACAAATGGACAAGCTACAGATGAGGAAAAAATATTTGCAAAATATACAGCTGAGAAAGCTTGGTGTCAAGTATGTAGGAAGGATTCTCAAAACTCAACAAAAAAACAAAGCACCCACTTGAAAAAGTAAAAAAATGTTCAACAGAAATTTCACTGAAGAATATGTCTCTCAGTCCACTGATGCTGGATCCCAGGAGAGCTGAGACTGGGTCAATTGCAAGGAACATAAATTCTTTGGCTCATAGTTCTGGAGGATGTGAAGTCAGAGAGCGTGGTGTCATATCTATGAGGGGTTCTTACCAGCCCCCGTGGCATATATGAGAGGACAAGAGCCATCAAGAGGGTGTGGAGCTCACTTTGATAACAAAGCCACTCCAGGCTGGGGAGACTGAGGCAGGAGGATCACAAATTCAAAGCCAGCCTCAGTAACATAGAGAGACCCTAAGCAACTTAGTGAGACCCTGTCTCAAAGAACAAAAAATGGTTGGAATGGGGCTCAGTGGTTAAGTGCTCCTGGGTTCAATCCCCAGAACCAAACCACACAAATAAACAAACAAACCCACTTCAGCGATGATTCATTCATTCATTTGTGAGGTCTCTGCCCCTTGGGATCTAACAGCGGTTGAAGGTCCTGCCTTTCAATACTGGTGTATTGGGGATTAAGTTTCCAACCTGTGGACTTTGGGGGCTGGGGCATGTTCAAAGCACAGTAAAATCTATAAATGGCAAATTAGCACATCAAATGATGCTCATCCCTGGAGTTCATTAGGAAAATGCAAATCCAAACCACAAAGAGACACTCCACACTTATTAGAATGGCTACAATTTAAAAATACTGTCAAAACTAAGTGCTGGAGAGGTTTTGGAGAAAATCCCACACATTGCTGGTGGGAATGTCTAATGGTGCGGTCACTCTGGACAGCAGTTTGGTGGTCTCCTAGGAGGTGAAGCATACGCTTATCGTGTGACAGCATAGAACCAACACCCAAAATAAGGCAAATCTGCTGCACATAAACATATCTCAATAAAATAAAACTTGTTTCATAATCAGTTTGAAAATAAGTCTATTAACCAACCCTCTTCCAACTGAACTGCTCTCATGCTCCTTTGATGTAGAAATTCTGATGCTGGATCTGCTCAAGGAGTCTGTGGTGTTAGAGAGCCGCGGACGGGGCCTGCAGGGGTGCGTTTGTTCCTGTGTATCCTGATGGGGCGCGCTTGGTAGATTAAATATGGCCACCCATTCTTAGAGCTCCTGAAAGTGGGGTCTAATTCCCACCCCATAAGTCTGGGCTGAACTTGGGACTTTGTGCAGTAGAATGTAGGGAAGAAAGATGTCATCGGCTCCGGAGTCCAAGCCTTGGGACTTGGAGCATGACCCTGTGACTATCATATTAGAGGCCCCTTCCAGGTTTCTGAGGACAAGCCATGTACGTGCAGGAGAACCTCAGGCCCCCACCTACTGTGCCAACTGCCAGGTGTGCGAGGGACCTTGTAGTTGCATGAGAAAGGCCCCAGGCAGGCAGTGGAGGAGCTGCTAAAGAGACCCATGAGGAGTGATTAATTATAGTCATGCTTGTTTGTTTTGTTGTTGTTTGTTTTGGTACCAGGGATTGAACTCTGAGATGCTCAACCACTGAGCCACACCCTGAGCCCTTTTAATTTTTTATTTAGAGACAGGGTCTTGCTAAGTTGCTTGGGGCCTCACTAAGTTGCTGAGGCTGGCCTTGAACTTGTGGTCCTCCTGCCTCAGCCTCCTGAGCTGCTGGGATTACAGGTATGCTCCACTGCACTGGGCAACTGTAGTTGTTTTAAACCACTACTTCCCCCTCCCTTTTTACTTTTTAATATCTCAGCATGTATTTTTTAAATGCTATGGTAAAATATTTTAAAAATTTTTTT